GCGGGCCAGCCGGGAGCACTGCAGGGGAGGAACCTACGACGATCAAGGGTCACCCTCTCCGCGCCGGCCCCGCCCTCCGCCTGCACGCGCTGCACCTGTCGCTGGGCTGAGCTGGGGTGGGGACAGGGAGCGCGGCGTCGCACTGCGCCTCTTGCCAGGGAGCCCTATTCCAAGACTGACTCTGGGCCGGGCGCGGTGGCTCACGCCTGTAATCTCAGCACTTTGGGAGGCCAAAGTGGGCGGGTTACGAGGTCAGGAGTTTGAGACCAGCCTGACTAAAATAGTGAAACCCCGTCTTTACTAAAAATACAAAAAAAAAAAAAAAAAAAATTAGCCGGACATGGTGGCAGGCGCCTGTAATCCCAGCTACTTGGGAGGCTGAGGCAGGAGAATGGCTTGAATCTGGGAGGCGGAGGTCGCAGTGAGCTGAGATCGCGCCACTGCACTCCACAGCCACGGCCATACCCCGCCAACTCAGGGCTGGCCCCGCCCCGCCCCGCCCCCTTACCGGGAATGCGCGTGTCAAATTCAGGTTCCTTTCCCTCCAGCCCTTGTCATGTGCCACGCACTGTGGCTTTCCCCCACCTGCTCCCGGCCGAGTCAGGCACTGCCCGAAGACCATCACCCGTAACTCGGTCTCCCTCTCCCCTCCCCTTGGCTTGTCAAGCTACTTTAGGTTCCCTGTCGCCCCTTCTCTTGGGCCACGCCTGTCAGCTCCCTGGCCCCTCTCTCCTCCCTTGGTGGCGCCCTGCCAGGCCCAGTCTCTAATTAACAGAGACCACATGGAGCCCTCCTCCCTGTCACCGTCCTCAGGCTCCGACGGCCCCCTCCCTAAGTTTGAAAATCGGAGACAGCAGAGCCTTCTCCAGCCCTGCCTGAGTCACCACCCCCACTCCCGCACCAGGCAGTCTCTGCTCGGGTCTTTCAGGGGCCGACTCTGTCCCTGGACTCACACCCTACTCTGAGGTTCCTGCTGCTAAGAGCGTGGATTTCACAGTCAAACACTTTAGGTCCAAATCTGACCACTTCTTACTGGCTATGTGACTGTGGGCAGGTGACTTAACCTCTCTGTGCCTGTTACCCCTCTGTAAAATGGAGAGAAAATAATCTTACCTACCCCAAAAGGGAGGTTGTGGGGAATAAATGAGTCAGGCTATGTAAGCACTTAGAACAGGTCGGGTGCAGTGGCTCATGCCTGTAATCCCCGCACTTTGGGAAGCCGAGATGGGCAGATCACTTAAGATCAGGCGTTTTCAGACCAGCCTGGCCAACAAGGTGACACCCCATCTCTACTAAAAATACAAAAATTAGGCCAGGCACGGTGGCTCAAGCCTGTAATCCCAGCACTTTGGGAGGCCGAGGTGGGTGGATCACGAGGTCAAGAGATGACCATCCTGGTCAACATGGTGAAACCCCGTCTCTACTAAAAATACAAAACATTAGCTGGGCATGGTGGCGCATGCCTGTAATCCCAGCCACTCAGGAGGCTGAGGCAGGAGAATTGACTGAACCCAGGAGGCGGAGGTTGCGGTGAGCCGAGATTGTGCCATTGCACTCCAGCCTGGGTAACAAGAGTGAAACTCCATGCTGTAATCCCAGCTACTTGGGAGGCTGAGGCAGAAGAATTGCTTGAACCCGGGAGGCAGAGGTTGCAGTGAGTTGAGATCATGCCACTGCACTCCAACCCAGGTGACACAGCGAGACTTCATCTCAAAAAAAAAAAAAAAGAAGAAAGAAAGAAAAGCAAAATTAGTTGGGCGTGGTGGCGTGCACCTGCAATCCCAGCTACAAGGGAGTTTGAGGCAGAATTGCTTGAACCAGCGAGGCGGAGGTTGCATCAAGCCGAGATTTCATCACTGCACTCCTGCCTGGGCGACAGAGCGAGACTCCATCTCAATAAATAAATAAATCAAATTGTAACTCCCCCACCAATAATCTCTCCCCTCCACACTTTCTGACTCTGCTTTATTTATCTCCATTTGATCCACTTTCTACTTACTGCCTTCCTGCTGTTTTCCTCACCTACAGTGTAAACTTCAGGGAGACAGAGATTTCTGTCTGTTGTGTTAGCTGTTGTGACTTCAGCACCTTGAGCAGTGCCTGGTACATAGCAGGTGCTCAATAAAGCTTTGTGGGCTGAATGAGCAATGGGGGATGCATAGATGCAAGGGGGCTGCTCCTTTCACCGCCCCCCAACCTCCTGCCCTCAGGCCCTGACCCTCTCACCCTGACAGAGAGGGTGGAACAAGGCTCCATTCTAGCCAGGTCACCCTGAAACTCATGGCTCCGCCACTTTCCTGCACTGGCCGGGCTCCTTACATGCCAAACCTCATTTTTCCACACCAGTCCCTGCCACTTACAGAGCAGGAAAGGGGAGGGGAGATGTCTGGGACAAGGCAATAAGAAGTGCTTAGGGGCAGAATCTAAACCGAGATTTTGCTGCCCTCAAAGGTCCCCCATTTTTTTTTTTGAGATGGAGTTTCGCCCTTGTTGCCCAGGCTGGAGTGCAATGGCACAACCTCGGTTCACTGTGACCTCTGCCTCTTGGGTTCAAGCAATTCTCCTGCCTCAGCTTCCCAAGTAGCTGGGATTACAGGCATGTGCCACCACACCCAGCTAATTTTGTATTTTTTTTTAGTAGAGATGGGGTTTCTCCATATTGGTCAGGCTGGTCTCGAACTCCCAAAAGCAGGTGATCCGCCCGCGTCTGCCTCCCAAAGTGCTGGGATTATAGGAGTGAGCCACCTCGCCTGGCCCTTCAGGCCTAAATTTTAACTTAATTTGTTTTTCCCAGGGAGAGAAGATAGACTGATTTCTCATAAAGAACTGAAGTTCAGTCCACGCCATTTCTCTGACCCCTGTCATTTCTCCCGCGCCTCCCTCCCAAGCCCCACCTCTGAACACGCCCCACCCCATGTCTCTCCTACCCCAGACGGGCCTGGCTTTCCTCTGGGGTGAGTTGGTCGAATTCCTTGGCCACTTCCCGTCCCAGGAAAGCCTCATGGTCGTACTGGAAGTTCCCGTGGGCGTCATCATGGGGGGCGTCGCTCAGGGGGGCCGCCTGGTGCACCCTCCCCTGGCCATGAGGGCCTGCGTCCGGGGACGGCTTCCCCTGCGCCCCATGCCTCAGTAGCAACAGAAGCAGCAGAAGCGATGGTCGCCACATCATTGGTCCCTGGGGAGTGGCACAGGTCAGGGACCAGGGGTCAGGGGTCATAGGGATGAGGACAGGCACGGGGCAGGAGGATGGCGGGGTGGAGGGGTTACCAAGGACAGGACCCGGAGATGGAAGTTGGCTGCAAACTTTTGGGCTCAAGAAGGGCGGGCGATGAGGGGAATGAGGGCGGGGTGCTCAGAGGGAAAGCCACCTACGAGGAGGACCAAACCTTCTGACAGAGGCTCAGGGAGGTCCCAGGCCTGCGAGGGGGAATTTCTGGGAGAGACGTGGCGCACATCCCACGCAAGGCGCAGGGCATGATTGTGGCCGGCGAGAGGTCAGGCAGGCTCCTCGTGATTGCTCCCAGCGCGGACCCTGATCCTCTACCCAAGCCGCCCCAAGCCGCCCTCCTTAGACAGACGCCCCCCAACCCGCTCCCTTTACCCCGTTATCCAGCTTTGCTCCGCTCTCCACGCTTCGCTTTGCGTTCCCGCAAATATGCCCAATTCAGGCGCTCTCCAGTCAGGCCCCGCCTCTGGCAGCGCAGAGCCCCGCCCTCCAACCAATGAACTTGCACGAGAGCCCCCACGGGGCGGAGCCAGCGAGCGCAGGGAGGGCCGTGGGCGCCCCTCGCCACGTCCACAAAGGAAAGCGCGGCCTGACACTGGAAGGAAGTGGGTGGGCGACGCCGCAGTGACGCGCCGGGGAGAACTACAACTCCCGGCAGGCGTCGCGGCACTCTGCCGTCCACCTCCAGCTGCTCTAGCCCCAAAGCCTCACGGGAAATGTATTTTTCCCTCTTTCCCTTTGTCAGGATGGTTTAAGACAGAGCTGTACGTTCCAACGGTTTTATACCAAAAAAAAAAAAAAAAAAAAAAAAGAAGAGCCGAATCAAGGGGCCAGGGGAAACATCCTACTTCCTCCAAGAGGGAACAGTGCTCCTCACTCCTCTTCTGCTCCAAGGATTCAGGTGGTCAGATACTAGCCGATAATGCCTCAAAATGCCTGGCACGGAGTCATCCAGTAAATATTTGTAAAATGTATGAATTGAGAATACATGAGCGGACGAGAGCGGTGGCTCACGCCTGTAAATCCCAGCACTTTGGGAGGCTGAGGCGGGCGGATCACCTGAGGTCAGGAGTTCGAGACCAAACTGGCCAACATGGTGAAACCCCATCTCTACTAAAAATACAAAAATTAAGACGGGCGTGGTGGTGGGCACCTGTATTCCCAGCTCCTCGGAAGGCTGAGGCAGGAGAATGGCTTGAACCCACAAGGCAAAGGTTGCAGTGAGCCAAGATTGCGCCACTGTACTCCAGCGTGGGTAACAAGAGCAAAACTCCGTCTCAAAAAAAAAAAAAAAAAAAAAAAAAAGAAATAAAATAAAATTAAATTTAAAAAAATACATGGCCTTGGGCCGGGTGCAGTAGCTCAATGCCTATAATCCCACCACTTTGAGGGGCCAAGGCGAGCAGATCATTTGAGGTCAGGGGTTCAAAACCAGCCTAACATGGTGAAATCTTGTCTCTAAAAAATACAAAAAATTAGCCGATGTGGTGGCACGTGCCCGTAATCCCAGCTACTCGGGAGGCTGAGGCAGGAGAATCGCTTGAACCCAAGGGGCAGAGCTTGTGGTGAACCGAGATCACACCACTGCAAGCCAGCCTGGACAATAGAGCGAGACTCTGTCTCAAAAACAGAAAAGGAAAATACATGACCCGAAGTATAAAACCGGCAGGTTCCTCACGGCGGCATGTGACCAGCAGGAGAGCTCTGAGGCCCTGCCATGCAGTCCCCACTCATTCCCTTACCTCCCCTGCCTGAAAAAATGAGAACACACGGATTGGGCCTAAACTCGTGTTATATTGTCGAAGTGGAAAACAGCCATGTGTTAGGAGGGGAAACTGAGGCAGACCACAGGACAGGGCTCCAGAGGACAACGGGGCCCAAGACTCCTTCCGGAGGCTCAGAGATGCCAGTGTTCCGGGAGGTCTCACAGCACGAAGGGAGCCTGACCGCATTCACTGTCAGCGGTCAGAAGGTGGACGGTCAGGCAGTGGCTGGGCTCACATGTGCATCTTTCCAGTCAGCATCCTGGGCCTCCCCCGGGGTGGGCAGGAGGGCCCCGGCGTCGTCTCCACGGAGGGAGATCCAAGGGGCTGAGGAGAGAGAGCGGGAGATCGTCGGCATCTCCGAGGCGCTCTGGGTCTGCCTGGCCCGCCCCATCTGTGTCACACACTCTCCCTCAGTCTCTGCCCCCTTCCTTCTGGGTCTGTCTCCGCTTTCTTCTCCCAATTCTTTGTCCCCCCTTTCTACAGCTTTGCCGCCCTCTCTGGGTCTCTGTCCCCCCCCCTCTGGGTTTGTCCCCCTTTGGGCCTCTGTCCCCCTCTTTTTTGGTTCTTGAGATGGAGTCTCGCTCTGTCACCCAGGCCGGAGTGCAGCGGTGAAGTCTCGACTCACTGCAACCTCCGCCTCCTGGATTCCAGGGATTCTCCTGCCTTAGCCTCCTAAGCCGCTGGGACTACAGGCACCTGCCACCACGCCTGGCTAATTTTTTGTATTTTTAGTAAATGGGATTTCACCAGGTCAGCCAGGATGGTCTCGATCTCCTGACCTCGTGATCTGCCTGTCCGCCTCAGCCTCCCAAAGTGCTGGGATTACAAGCCTGAGCCACTGCACCCGGCCTCTGTCCCCCTCTTTGGGCCTCTGTCCCCCGCTCTGGGCTTCTGTCCCCCCCTTTGGGTCTCTGTCCTCCCGGGTCTGTGGGTCCCTCTCGCCGAGGCCGCCCATACCTGGCAGCCCACTCCTCATCCTTCGCCACAACAGAGCTCCTCCCACAGCCGCTGCCGTCAGCAGCAAGACGCCGACGACGATTCCCACAACAAGCACCGAGGACTTGGCTGGAGATTCTGCAGCCAGAGAACACGGTGAGATGAAGGGCAGCCCCTCCGCCCCACCCGGTCAGGACACGGAACTGGGGGCTCCCAGCTCCTCCCCGCCTCGGAGATCCCCGCGCCAAGTGTCTGATGCGCAGGGGAAAGGCCAGGCGGGTGATCCGGGCAGAGTGCCCCCAGGCTGGACACAAGAAGCAGCCAGGGCGCCAGCGGCTGCGGGAACACCGGCGGTGGACCGGCCGCGGCAGGCCGGGGCTGTCCCGGTGCAGACGCGAGGGGCAGGCAGAGCAGTGGGAGGTCAGCCCCACGGGCACCGGAAGTAGCAAGGCAGCAGGCGGTCAGTGCTGGTGAGGACGGGCATAGCAGACAACGAATGGTCAGATTCCACGAAGAGCCGCGGCAGCAGCAGCAGGACGGAAGATGGTCAGACTCAGGGGGAACTGGCCATGGTGGTTAACAGCTCCTCAGACTCAGTGAGGCCAGAAGCAGCAGGACAGAGGGCAGTCGGCCTTGGGGAGGGCAAGCCATCAGGCTTTGTCGCACTGGCAGGTGCGAGGCACAAGCCGGTCAGATTCAAGGAGGCAGCAGCAGCAGCAGGGAGGAAGGTCAGACTCAAGAAGGACCGGTGCAGCAGCGAGGCAAGGCCACATGAAAGACACCGGGAGCATCGCCGCCGGGCGGAGCCTCACCCAGCTCCACCCTGAGGGGCTGTGCGAGGCCCGCGTGCTGCACGATGCAGCAGTAGTGGTGCTCGTCGCCACTTTTGACTGTCAGTGAGGACCAGGCGTGGAAGGAGCCGTCACCGTTGGGGCCGAAGTCGCCCTCGCCGGTGCCAGCGGCCAGCCCATTCCGCTGGAATCGAAGCTGCAGCTCCGGGGGGTAGAAGGAGAAGGCACTGCAGGTGAGCACGGAAAAGCCAGGGCTGCCGGGTCGGGCCTTCAGGCGCATGGAGGGCGGCTCTGCAGGAACCAGAGAGGCAGATCTAAGCCCCCAGCCCCGAGCCCACTGCTCCCAGGACCAGGGCTAGATAGGGACTCAAAGAGGCCTCCATGTTTGCACTGCGCTAACCCCGGAGAATACGGTGGTAAAGGGGGAGGCACTTCCCAGGTGAGAGAGACTCAACCTATCCACCCTTCCAGGTGTCTCCTCAAGATGTCACCTCCCTGGGCTGGGCATGGTGGCTCACGCCTATAATCCCAGCACTCTTGGAGGCTGCAGTGGATGGATCACCCGAAGTCAAGAGTTCCACACCAGCCTGGCAACATGGCGAGACCCTGACTCCACTAAAAATAGAAAAATTACGTCTCAAAAAAAAAAAAAAAAATAGAAAAATTAGCCCTGTGCCTGTAATCCCAGCTACTCGGGAGGCTGAGACAGGAGAATCGCTTGAACGGGGAGGCAGAGGTTGCAGTGAGCCGAGATCGCGCCACTGCACTCCAGCCTGGGTGACAGAGCAAGCCCTCGTCTTGGGGGGAAAAAATGGTAGTAAGAGGATAATTATGAAAAATTCCACACCGACACATTTGAAAATTTAGAATAAACACATTCCTGAGAAATACAACCTTCTAAACTGACACAAGAAGAAATTTAAAACGTCAGCAGTCCTGTAACTAAAATGTTTAATCCACAGTTTCAAACATTTTGAAAACTAAAATTCCAGGTCCAGAAGACATCAATTAATGAATTCTTCCAAACAACTAATGAAGAAATGATTCCACTCCACTGCTAACTCTTTCAGGGAGTAAAACAGAGGAAACACTCTCTCAACACGTTTTTTTTTTTTTTGAGACAGAGTCTCTTCTGTAGCCCACGCTGGAGTGCAGTGGTGCGATCTCAGCTCACTGCAACCTCCACCTCCCAGATCCCGGTTCAAGCAATTCTCATGCCTCAGTCTCCCGAGTGGCTGGGGATTACAGGTACGCGCCACAATGCCTGGCTAATTTTTTTTTTTTTTTTTTTTTTTTTTTTTTTTTTTTTGAGACGGAGTTTCGCTCTTGTTGCCCAGGCTGGAGTGCAATGGCACGATCTTGGCTCACCGCAACCTCCGCCTCCTGGGTTCAGGCAATTCTCCTGCCTCAGCCTCCTGAGTAGCTGGGATTACAGGCACACGCCACCATGCCCAGCTAATTTTCAGTATTTTTAGTAGAGACGGGGTTTCACCATGTTGACCAGGATGGTCTCGATCTCTTGACCTCGTGATCCACCCGCCTCGGCCTCCCAAAGTGCTGGGATTACAGGCTTGAGCCACCGTGCCCGGCCAATTTTTGTATTTTTAATAGAGATGGGGTTTCACCATATTGGCCAGGCTGGTCTTGAACTCCTGACTTCATGATCCGCCCACCTCAGCCTCGCCAAGTGCTTCTCCGAACACATTTTATGAGGTCAGCATAATCTTGACAACAAAGGGCACTACAATAAAGAAAACTGGAGGCCAACATCTCTCATAAAAATAGATTCAGACTCACTTTGGGAGGCCGAGGCGGCGGATTACCTGAGGTCGGAGATCGAGACCAGTCTGACAGACATGGTGAAACCCCGTCTCAATTAAAAAAAATCTTTTTTTATTTTTATTTATTTTTTTTTTTGAGACGGAGTTTCGCTCTTGTTACCCAGGCTGGAGTGCAATGGCACAATCTCGGCTCACCACAACCTCCGCCTCCTGGGTTCAGGCAATTCTCCTGCCTCAGCCTCCTGAGTAGCTGGGATTACAGGCACCCGCCACCATGCCCAGCTAATTTTTGTATTTTTAGTAGACACGGGGTTTCACCATGTGGACCAGGATGGTCTCGATCTCTTGACCTCGTGATCCACCCGCCTCAGCCTCCCAAAGTGCTGGGATTACAGGCGTGAGCCACCGCGCCCGGCAAAAAAAATCTTTTTAATTAAAAAAATTAAAAACAAATAGATTCAGGCCAGGCTCAGGGGCTCACGTCTGTCATCACAGCACTTTGGGAGGCTGAGGTGGGCAGACCACGAGGGTCAGGAGTTTGAGACCAGCCTCACCAAAATGGTGAAACCCTGTCTCTACTAAAAAATACAAAAAATTAGCCAGGTGTGGCAGGGGCCTGTAATCCCAGCTACTCGGGAGGCTGAGGCAAGAGAATCACATGAACCCGGGAGGTGGAGGTTGCAGTGAGCCAAGATGGCACCATTGCACTCCAGCCTGGTTGACAGATCGAGACTCTGTCTTAAAAAAAAAAAAAGTAGATTAAAAAAAAAATTCAGAACATTTAAACATAGTATTAGCATCTCATGCCTGAAATCCCAGCATTTTGGGAGGATAAGGTGGGCGGATCACTTGAGCCCAGGAATTGGAGACCAGTCTGGGCAACATAGGAAGGCTTAGATTCTACTAAAAATTTAAAAATTAGCCAGTGTGGTGGCATGCACCTATAGTCCCACCTACTCTAGAGGCTGAGGCAGGAGGAATGCCTGAGCCCAGGAGTTTGAGGCTGCAGTGATTATGATCCCACCTGTGTATAACCATTGCACTACAGCCTGGGCAACACAGAGAGACCCCGTGTCTAAAAAATAAAATGTACATAGAAATGCAAGTAACCTATAAAAACAGGTGATACACTTTGGGAGGCCGAAGCAGGTGGATCACGAGGTCAAGAGATCGAGACCATCCTGGTCAACATGGTGAAACCCCGTCTCTACTAAAAATACAAAAAAAAATTAGCTGGGCATGGTGGCGCATGCCTGTAGTCCCAGCTACTCGGGAGGCTGAGGCAGGAGAATTGCCTGAACCCAGGAGGCAGAGGTTGCGGTGAGCCGAGATCGCGCCATTGCACTCCAGCCTGGGTAACGAGCCAAACTCCATCTCGGGTGTGGGGGGGTAAAAAAAACAGGTGATAAAGCTGGAAAAGTTAACTACTAGATAGCAAAATTTTCTTTTTTTTTTTTAAAGATCGATTCTCTGTCCCCCAGGTTGGAGGGCAATAGCACAATCTCGGCTCACTGCAACCTCTGCCTCCCAGGTTCAAGTGATTCTCCTGCCTCAGCCTCCAGAGTAGCTGAGACTACAGGCGCCCACCACCAACATGCCAGGGAATTTTTTTTTTTTTTTTTTTTAGATGGAGTTTCGCACTTGTTACCCAGGCTGGAGTGCAATGGCGTGATCTCGGCTCACCGCAACCTCCACCTCCTGGGTTCAGGCAATTCTCCTGCCTCAGCCTCTCGAGTAGCTGGGATTACAGGCACGTGCCACACCTGGCTAATTTTTTGTATTTTTAGTAGAGACGGGGTTTCACCATGTTGACCAGGATGGTCTCGATCTCCTTATCTCGTGATCCACCCGCCTCAGCCTCCCAAAGTGTTGGGATTACAGGCGTGAGCCACGGCACTCGGCCTTTTTTTTTTTTTTTTTTTTTTTTTTTTGAGACAGAGTGTTGCTCTGTCGCCTGGGCTGGAGTGCAGTGGCGCAATCTTAGCTCACTGCCATCTCTGCCTCTCAGTTTCAAGTAATTCCCCTGCCCGAGTCTCTCAAGTAGCTGGGACTGAAGGCATGCACCACCACACCCAGCTTATTTTTTGTATTTAGTAGAGATGGGGTTTCACCATGTTGGCCAGGATGGTCTCGATTTCCTGACCTCGTGATCCGCTCGCCTCGGCCTCCCAAAGTGCTGGGATTACAGATGTGAGCCACCACGCCCAGTCTAGATATCAGAACTTTCCATAAAGCTAAATCAAATCAAGAGAGTGAGGTACTGGCACTAAGTCTGTCCAATAAATCAGCAGAATGGAGAGGGTTAGAAGCAGATCCACACTTTACCTACGAAACACACTCCCCTGCAGTTCACTGAGGGAGCAGAGATGATGGTCTAGCAACAAAGGATGCTGGGCTAACCGGATGTATGAACCTCCATCCCTACCCTCATCCTAAGGTGCAACTGAGTCAAAATGGATGATATCACTAATGTGAAAGCTATTTATCAACCAAGCTTCTAGAAGACATAGGTGAATACCTTCATAACTCAGAGGAAAGACCCCTTAAAGAGAATACACAAAAAAGCTACAGAATTAAAGATAAAATTGAGCTTTGTATAAGTTAAAATTTATGCCAGGCGCAGTGGCTCATACCTGTAATCCCAGCACTTTGGGAGGCCAGGCAGGCAGATCACGAGATCAGGAGTTGGAGACCAGCCTGACCAACATGGTGAAACCCTGTCTCTACTAAAAATACAAAAGTTAGCCAGGTGTGGTGGTGCCTGTAATCCTACCTACTTGGGAGGCTGAGGCAGGAGAACTGATTGAACCCAGGAGGTGGAGGTTGCAGTAAGCTGAGATGGTGCCACTGCACTTCAGCCTGGGTGACAGAGCGAGACTCCATCTCAAAAAAAAAAAAGGTTAAGGGCCTGGTGCGGTAGCTCACGCCTGTAATCCTAGCACTTTGGGAGGCTGAGGTGGGTGGATCACCTGAGGTCAGGAGTTCAAGACCAGCCTGGCCTTCATGGTGAAACCCCATCTTAAAAAAAAAAAAAAAAACCGATTAAAATTTATAAACTTTATGAAATAAATAGAAATCGATAAACTGAACTTCACCAAAAATACGAATTTTTGTTCATCCAAAGCTTTTGTTAAGAAAGTGAAGAAAGATTGGATGCAGTAGTTTATGCCTGTAATCTCAGAACTGTGGGAAGCTGAGGCAGGAGGATCTCTGAAAGCCAGGAGTTCAAGACCAGCCTGGGTGACATGGAGAAACCCCGTCTCTATGAAAAATTTAAAACATTAACTGCGTGTGGTAGTTCACACCTGTGGCCTCATTCACTCAGGGAGGCTGAGGTGGGAGGACTGCTTAAGCTTGGGAGGTTGAGGCTGCAGTGAACTATAACCCGCTACTACACTCCAGCCTGAGCAACAGTGCAAGGGCCTGTCACACTCTCACACACACACGCACACACACACACACACACACACAAAGCCGGGTGTGGTGGCTCATGCCAGCAACCCCAGCACT